CATACCCTCTGCATTCGTATTAATTACACCATATCTTTTGTAGAGACAAAACAGATGATAATACAGAGTATCTATGCACTATCATTGTTTTATGCAAGGTAAACCAAGAGATTTATAACGCCCACGGTGAAAAATTGGATAATCTAAATAGCAGAAAAGAAAAATATATATTTTCATTCAATAATACTTATCGCTCATTGAGATGATCAAATGAACTAAATAAAAGAGAAAAATATTTTTACTTTTATATAATAATAGTTATTGTTTGAAATTTATTGGGTGTGGATGTGGATTTACATGATAATATGGACCCTTGCTGTGCGTTTAGATACGAGTTTTGCTGTGGCTGAAACATCCATGTCCTCTTATTTCAAACTTACAACGACATTCACAAGCCTACACTCGTAGCTCGTCTTTCTTATGATTATATTCTTTATTTCCATATTTAGTATGAGTTATTGCAATTGAAGTCCTGAGATTCAGCATAATTATTCAACTCAGTATTATTTCACTATTAAATATATACTATCACTCAATGATAGGGCACATTTATATTTGCATTAGATTTAACATATCATTGAATATTTTTAGGATGAATCATTAAATGTTAACGATAGAAAGAAAATGTTTTCAAAAATCTAAATACAAGTTGCATTATTGTCAATAAAAAAGTATAGACTTTTCGTTCCAAATCCAATATTTTTTCTTAAATGAAGGCGAAAAAAAAATAATGTTTATGTATTAATTTTTCAAATATTTTCGAAAAGTTATCTGAATAATGATTCTTCAAAACTAGATTTCCTTTCAATATAAATTTATGTTATCAGACAACGAAATTACTTCACCTTATACGGAAGATCAGTAAGCTTTGTATAGTTATCAAAAAACAGGAAAAGCTTAAGATAACATCTGGTTTATACTTTACACTGTAAAAAATTTCGCAAACTCAAAATAGAATACTCTTGACTATTGATTTAATATTTGATATAAATTACATAGAAGGTCATCCTTAAGATATCGGTAGTTGATCGTCAGATCGTACTTGTATTCTTCATTCAGCCTCTTGTTTGATCATTGCTTGTTGAACATGCATTGGTAGACCCGGATTCAGGCTCATTGCGTAGGGCAACAGTGTTTTGTGTATATCTCCAAAATCAACCATAATTTTAATGAACATTGTGTCGTCTTGTACATACGGATTTCCCTCCTGTTGAATCATTTTCAATGGGAAAAATTTTGGTATACCACTGGCTATATTCATATTCGATCGTGATCGCTGAAAACTACTTGATTTAATGTCTGGTCGAAATGAATTAATAATATGTCGTTGTGCAGGTGTTTGATCGTACAAGCAAAATATAACTTTATAGTTGAATGGAAATTTGAGAATCGGATCATTCAAACCTCGCATGAGCACAAAAAAGAGTGACATATGTGTATGACGAGCATTTCCATCACCATTTAAATACAAACGAGCTCTCATTTTATAACCATTTGGAGACGAATAAAATGGAGGTGAATAAATTGATGTTTGTCTTTCAGACTGTGCATCAACTAGAAATTAAACTAAAAAAATTGTCAGCGCCACGTCTTAGAGACTAAAGTATGGAATTCACGTGTCTGTTTTCATCTTCTTTATACTAATACAAAATAGATTAAATGAATAATATATCTAATAGACTACAGTAGTTTTCCAAAGATTATCGCTCGCAAAGGAAACTATCTGTTTTATTTATTTCTACGTTTCAAAGAAATTTTTCTTACATTCACTCTATTTTTAATTTATATTGTTACTATTCATTTGTTATTGATTTTCTTGGCTCGTCTGTCTTAAATTACTACAATTTTTATTCTAAACGTTCATTTATATAACATACAAGCCTATCGTACACATCTATTATATCTGTAACATATCTCAACATTAGAACATCCAGAAACATATCCAAGGGCATTTTCATTTTCAATGGAAAGTTTGAAATATTCTCGAATTACCATAATCTTGTTGCTAATATCATTCAGCAGATTCTTGTGTCTTGATAAAAGATGATAGAAAAGGAGTCTGATATAAGATATCCTTGGCTGCTAGTGAAACATATATCCAGCGACCATAACCTCAGTTGCTAAAGTTTATTTCGAGCACTTTTGACAACGTTGCTATGACTGTCACCGGTATGAAAGTCCTTCATCTATATTCTCTCACTGTCACCGATTGGCCAGACTTAGTATGGAGTAATGAATGGAGAACAGTGCAAACAGTTATAAAGAAATTTTGCGGATCGACAGCATTGATCAATAGTTTCATTAATTTATTAATAGGTTAAATCAAGATTGTATTTGTGCAAAAGAATATATTATGCTGAATGTAACATTCAATTCTATGTACTATAATTGGTCGATATTATAGAAATCGAATGACATGTTATTCTTTGATTATTATTTTTCTCGGTAATATAGTTTATCTATTTTTATCGTTAAACATAAGATTAATTGTACAACTTACTCATTTTCTCGTGAAACTTTGTTATTTTCCAAACTAATATTCCATCATATGATACACATTGCAAATCGTTGATTTCCTCTTGCAATGATGCTAGATCTTGATTGAGAATGTCTTGATTAAGGTTTACTCCTTTCCAAAGAGTGTTTGATTCTTCAATGGATAATTTAATTTTCGATAATTCTTCTGTCAGTGTTGTCAGTGTAATTTGCATTTGAAGTGCTTCATTGGTTAGACGTTGTTCATCATTGGTCAATGTTTCAACGCCACCTCTCAAGATATTGAGCATTTCATACAGCTCTTCTAATTGTGCTGTGGCAAGATTACAAGCTCCTGCAGTTGCTGTTTGAGAGAAATCAATATTCATTTGTCTGTCATTTAATTGCGCTAACATTTGTGGAACAACTTTGAGTATGGCATATTGATGTTGTTGAGTCAAATAATGATCTTTCATTTTAACACGAATAATCTAAAGAACATAAATTTTCTTATGTCAATTTCATTGAGAGAATATTTATACTCGTTCACTACAACCGAAATCTTTCAATGCACAATCAACAATGAGTTGTTGACATTCAAAAATTTTATGTAGATTGAATTTGATAACTGAATTAAACTGTTCACCACAATATTCACATTTGAAATTTGAATGAGATTGATCGATATGTTCCTTTGGAATAAAAAGGAGAGAAAGCTCAAGAATAAAACAAATATAAGTTAAATGACTTGATAGTTATTTAAAATGCCAGTCCATGGACAAAAAGAACAATCAATTGGTAGTGATTTCATATCAATTTTGAAGGCTTGATCAAGTAGCACCTATACAAAAGAAATATATTTTTTCTTTTTAACTATGAAAAGGTATGTTACTTCTATTCGTAATGTTTCTTGTTGACATTGTCGACATTTGATTATCGTTCTTTAGAAAGACTACTGAAAAATAATACTTCAAATTAATGGTGAAACATACTCTTGTTTAACATTTAAACATGTTTGACACTGACGATGACCACATTTACTCAATTGTATAGGATCTCGTAGTATCAATGAACATACAGGACAAATATATTTCGTATCAAGAATATGTTTGTTTCTTGAATCGATACCAACCATGCGTTTAACTTAATCAATATGAAATAAACAATAAATGATAGTTAGATATGAAATCAATTTTCTTCTATTTATGTGGTTTTGTTGTTTTTTTTTCTTGTTGATCACAAATATAAATAGAAGAAAAAAATCAGATGTGTTAATGCAAACCAACAAATAGATTACCTTTTAAACAAATAAAAATAATTTTTTGAAATTCAGTGATGTACTAAATAGTTTATCTAGAATTTACACATTAGTATTAAAATATGATAAGAGTTTCAAATGTTCAAAACAAAAAAACAGGTGGAAGTTCAGTATAGATCCAGCCATTTCTGTTTCATTAGACTTTGAGTTCATTGTCGATATGTTAACTGAAATTTCGATTGTAGATGGATCATTATTAATGAGAGTGATTTGAAAGTCGATACGGTCATCAAAACCTTTCTCTAGAGTCAGTGAAATCATATAAAACATAATTGAATTATAGAGACTCATTCAAACTGTGATAATGATTTATATGCTTAGTTATTTCATGATAATATTACTAATATAAGGAAGTATTAAATTTTTTTTTTCAAAGAATAATTGATCCTCTTGCTTATTTGTATAATGATTCAACTTACTGTATTTCTTGGATTTTTCGGAAAAAATCTGAAGGATATTTTATTGTCTGTAAATAAAAAGAAACCCTATAAGTACTCTTCTGTGAGGTCATTAACAAAATAAGTGATGTCAATCCTTACTAAAAAAGGAAATGTATGATGCAATAATGCCGACGCTATATAGGTCATATTTACTAATCAATTGCGTCGAAAATATCATGTACAGAATAAATGATGAGATTACTGTAGCGAAAAATAGCTCTTTTTGAGTCATTTTATTACGCATTGAGTATAAAAGCTTTATCGAAACATTATATCCTATGACTAATATTGACATTTTCACAACAGCAATCTATGTGGAAGTATAAAGCAACGTCGCATAAGTCTAATGAATCATGAAGTTTTCAAAGGTATAATGTTTACTTCGCTTCCTCCAAGGAAAAAACTTCATGCGGGTGTGGACGTGGAGGTATAGATAAATAGATCGCATCATCCACGTCGAGTGGTGTCACATATCCAGAATCTCGGGCA